GCAGCTTTCTGCATTTTTATCAGGGCTGTAAGTTATTGCACCTTGCTCCCTCAACAGAGGAGGTAATTAATCTAAACGAGGGCCCTCCGGGAGCACAGCCGTAATCTGCAATTTCCCATTGACTGTAATAGAGGGAACGTTCTGGAGAGGCCCAGCAGCCCTTGGAAATGCACTTTTTCGGAGAGCAATTAGGGGATGTTGCAGATATGAGCTTGTCGGTGTCGGCTCAGCCCACGGTGACCGATAACTCGTCCCGTGCCGGGTGCGAGGCGGGACGGCAGCGATCACACAGCCTCCGAGCAACCGGGTACCCAGCTTGGAGGGCAAGAGGAGGATGAGGATGGGTCACTGGAGTGGGTGGAAAGGAAAACGTGGCGAAATGATGAGTGAAACGGCTTCTGGGAGGCTCTGAAGTAGACGGTGGCATTTTTCTATCCTGCTCCATGATTTTGCTGTTTTCCTTAAGTGTTAACAGCTTCAGATGTTGGACATTTCTACATGGGAAATCCCATTTCTGATGCTTCTCAAATGCCAGTTTTATTATCTAATTTATCAGCTTAGTAGAAGGGTAAAAGAGTTTTATTTCTCCTCCTGGGCACATGGTCTCCTTTGGAAATACCGATTCCATCTGAGGCTGCTGAGGTTCTCCCTTTTAGCAGTGTCTCCTATTTGTAAGTGATGCATAGCATTCCCGAGGCGTTTTCTTAAGGTCCATAAGAATTAACTGTAAATTTAATTAAAGTTTCCAATGCTTCCGTTAAAGCGGAGCATAACTGAAGCCCTGTCTGCTCTTTGCCAGTTTAAGCCAGACCTGGAGGGAGACAGGGGTTATCAATAATTAACTGGGGTAATTTAGGGGAAAGTATTAGGGAGTTAATGAAAATGTGAAATAGCATAATTATCTTGCAAGTAGTTGAGAGCGATAGAGCTGCTGAGGAAGAGGAGGTTGTTGCACGATTAACTGCTGGGAGGCTGCCGTTGCCGATGCGGTCCCAGGATGCTGTTGGGACCCAGCTCCTCCGCCAGCACCCTGACCCCTGTGGCCGCTGGCTCTGCCCTAACCAAGTGCAGGATCGAGGGTTTAGAGCCCACGGTGGGTCGTGCACCTTTTGTTCCCGTCGGAAACAAAGCTGTAGGTGCGTTGGAGCCTGTCCCAGGGTCCATGTAAGCGCTGGCTTGCAGAGCTTATGGCTCTGATGGACCAGCCTGGGGGGTTTGTGTGGGACATCGCTGCCCCACTGCTCTTCCTGCTGCGGGGGGACTGAGTATGGGGCTGTGCTGGGTTGTGGGGAAGGTGTCTGCACCCTATCTCAGCCCACGGGTGCTCCGGCGGCACCTGTGCAAGCAGAGTTGGGAATCCCTGCCCCAATGTGGGCTTTTATTAAAAATTCTATTTTAATTAAGCCTAGGATGGTGCAGTTGGCTTTAATTAAAGTTGGTGCCGTTCTTGTGTGCTGAGAAGCTCTTGGTCAGCAGGATGAGTGCGGGGAAGGTGCTGGTACTGCTGGGTGTGGGGTCCCCAGACCCCTTAGGGACAGCCTCAGCACCGTGGGGCTCAGCCTGGCCCTCGCTGTCCCTCTGCAGAAAGGAAGAGGAGAGGGTAAATGGCTTTAATTAGAACATTTTAGCAAAACCTTTGCTGGGGCATCCGGACTCACGTCGTTCTTCGTGGCCGCGCTGTAGGGGCAGTGCATGGGTCTCCTCTCCACTTTACGTCCCTGGGAATGCCACGATGGTTTGCAGCGATCCCAAACCGCCGTGTTTTACAAAAGCTGAGCACAACTGTGAATTCCTGAGCTCGGGACACGTCGCTGCCAGTTTGTGGAGCACAGGCTGAGAAAAGCAGGATTTCGGTTTAACGTGGGCTCCCCGGATCACGTCATTAATAATAAACATTTTATTGCCCGTGGAGGAGAGGGACTGATTTAGGTCTTTAGCCCGTGCTTTCGCTCAGAGAGGGTTTGGGGTGTGTGAGCAGATGAGGAAGGAGCCGGTTTGCTGCGCAGGAATCCCAGTGGCATCCGTGGAAGTGCCACAGAGCAGCAGAAATGCCTCAAGTTGCTCGGAGAAGCTGCGTGAAGCCACCTGGCAAACCCGACAGTGGGTTTCTGGACGTATTAAAGTTAAACGTACTTGGCCAGCGTGGCTCGGGGCGGGGGGGAGAAAGATGCTGAAAAGGTTGGGGAAACCGCCCGTGGATGCCCCGGGATTCAGGTACCTCCAAAGGGCACCCGCCTGCCTGGGCACCGCTGGTGCCAAATGGAGGTCCAGGCTGCCGGGTGGTGACGCCGGGGACGAGAATTGGCTCTGAAAATGCTGGCACTGTCCAGAAAAAAAATAGAAAAGGTGGGGGGAGGAAAGCCACAAGTGGCTTTTGCCTCTTGTGTGGGGGGAGGGAGCTGTGCAGGGCCCAGCATTGCTCGCAAATGCTTTTAATAAAGTGTTCTTTCCTACGTCCAGGGGAAAAAAAAGAAAAAAAAAAAAACAAAAAACCCAAACCTCAAGCCTTTTCCCATTACATAAGGAACAGATGCTGCTGGGCAGAGCCCTGGCTTTCCTGCAGCACAGCCCTGGCTGCTATGGGGACCCTGCTCCCCTGCTGGGCACAACCCTCCAGTGCCACCGCTTTGAGCAGTGGGATGGGGATCCCTGAAACACCCCGTCTTGTCCCACAGTGCTGCTGCCAAGAGCCAGCCCTGCTGCAGGACCCAGCTGCAGCCCGGTGGGAAGCTCCATCCTCATCCTCTGGCTCTGCCAGCGTTCCCGCAGGGCTGCCCGGGCCAGGCTCCCTGGGCAGGGCTCTCTGTGCCAGGCGTCTGAGCTCTCCCTGCCCTTGCTGGGTCGCCTTGGCCCCAGACAGGCAATGTTAAAAAACCTGCCCCTGCCTGGCCGAGGAAGCAGAGGCATAGGAGACAGGCCCGGGAAGCTCCTCTCCTTTCCAGCGAGCCCCAGGGGACACAGGGTGCAGCAGCCCCAGGGATTTTAAAATTTGTTTTAAAACACCTCGAGTTTTTAACCCACAATCCTTCTACGTTGAAGCAAAATGGAAAATCCTTGTGGGAAACAGTCCGTCCGGTTCCAACTCTTGTCTTTTGGTTAAGTGAAACATCTTGGTTAAGACTTGGGTTTTTTTGCTTTGTTTTACCCCTTGTCACAGTTAATGTTCGAGTATCTGTACTTTTTCCAAGAGATTGCCTGATCCCTGGAGCTCGTCCTGGGATGCCTCTGGGTGTGGAGCCGCTCGGGCTGGATCCCCATGTGTTTGCTGACCCAGACAAGTGATTTTGTGTCAGGATGGTGGCTGTTTGTTGGCTGGGTGAACGTTGGCATCTACACGGCAGCTCCTACACAAGCCCTGTCATCACTTGGTGCCTCAGTTTCCCGTTGTAAACCAGCATTTGCCTGTTGGGTTAAGTGCTTTGCCATCTGCAAAGAAAAATCCTAGGTGGGAGGAAAGGACATGCTCATTCTGCGTATGTGCATTTCTGTGCGCTCAGACGCGGAGGTTTTATTTCAGAAGAACTATTGAAGTGGTTTGGTCATTTCCCAAAGTCTTAAGCAAACCTCTGAAAGCCTCGTGTCCCCTCCCTGCAGGAAAGCAGCCTCCTGCTTGGCACAGACCCGGCCGGGTGGGCAGCAGGGCTGAGCCCTGGCACCGGAGCAGGATGCTGCTGTGCTCTGAGCAGGATGAATTCCCAGCCCAGAGCTTTCAGCAAGAGACTCCTCTGTTTTACATGGCTGGGGACGGGGACCGTGCATGTACCCCGAGCACAACGGAGGGAATGGGGACCGTGGTTTGTGCCAGCACGGAGGGCAGGAAGCCATTTCCTTCCCAGATGAGCCCCAGGAAGGGCGCGCTCTGTCTCTGCGTCCATGCGGGGTCCGTCGGTGGGTGCTGTGGGAGTGAGCTGGTGGGATGCGGCTGGGACGCAGCAAGAGCTGCGGGTCCCCTGGCACATCTGCACTGTCAGCTTGGGCTGGCATTGCGTGTCGGGGGGCTGTGCCCGCAGGGACCCCGCAGCTGCCTCCTGGCTGGCCCCACGGGCTCGGCTTTGGGGGGCGCTGCACTTGGCGGG